GCGCTCCTCCTCTCTCTCTCTCTCTCTCTCTCTCTCTCTCTCTCAAGCCAATTCAATCAAATCAGAGAAATAGAAAGTGGGGAAGGTTGAGGTAAACAACAGATGCTAGAGTCCTAATGGGGGTTATAGAGTGATGCTCAAGAGCACACTCTGAAGACATGAAGGGAAGCTGCATCCAAATGATATTCCACAAGGTGGATACTCGTTTTAGTGACATGGCCCTTTCATGCAGCCCAATAAAATGAAAGTTGCCTTAGGCCAACATGTCACACAAAGACTAAATGAAACTGTACTATATCATACATATGAAAACCATAAGATCTCCACTGTGCATCAAAGTTTCCGAAAATTGGCATTGGTTAAGCTGTCCCCAAAGTTACCTCAACTTCAGTTAAAATTTTAAATGGACCTTGAAGGAGGAAGGCTTCTCTCACAATAGGCATCGTCCTTATGGATACTGGGGAACAGTGACCAACCCATCCCATACCAGAGCTCTATTAGGAACCCACAGAGACAAGAGTCCATTCATGAGTATGAAAGGAATCTATTTTAGCATGGATGATAAATTGTAATGAAGCAGCTTCAAGGAAGGGATGGATGTAAGCAACATAGTTATGCCGCTGCATCTACGAGGATGACCCACTGGCATATGCAATCTATCATGATGCACCTGCATATGAGGGAACATCAGTCAACGTGATGTGCCTTTGTACGGAGGAGCCCGCTAATGGGTGGAAAATGCCCACGAGCAGGGTGTTTTCATCATTTTCTCCCCCGAAATGGGGCCAGTTTTTTCTTTTTCTTTTCTTTTTTTTCTGGTTTTGGGGGGCACGGGTGTAAATACTCCCTCAAAACCATTTTTCCATGGTTTTAAGGGGAAAAACGATAGGTATCTAATTTTTTTGAATTCAAAGATTTTATAAAATTTGGGGATGCTTTGGGTGAAAGATCGAGTTTACTTCGTGCATTATTCTGAAGGAATTCGGTTAATCATATTAGAGATCAAGACTAAACTAAATGTCACTTGGTTAAATACGTTCTTTTTTATTTAATGGGTATGGATTATTTTAATTTACATGTAAATTGAAAACTATAATAGAACCAGAAAATGTCATAGTTTTTTTTTAAGAAGTTAACTGTTATATTAAAAGGCAAGGATAGTACCAAGATAAGCCTCAGAGATGTGGAGACTATATACAGACAAAAATGGCAACCCTCTTCGAGGGAGTTCTATACATGGACTTTCCAAAAAAGGTAGAAAAACATAGAGAAGAGATTCGCAGTGGACTGAGCTTGCAAAAAATTATCAGTTACTGACATTTGTGGGACCGATCTTGGCAAGAGCGTCAGCTAGGGAATTGCTTTCTCGCCAAATATGACTCCAAGCAACTGTGATGTCCCTGCACAAGTAATTTACCTCTTCAAAAACAGAAAACAGGGTCCAGGGACAAGGGGACGAGCCCAAGGCCCTGGTGATAACATTACTTGAGTCGCCTTCGACCAATAGGTTGGAGCCCTAACTATTTGGGGGAGCGGGTGTATCATGTATATAGGCTATTAGCAACTCAGACAGTTAATATATTAGAGACAAATAATCATCATCAAAGTCATATCCCAACTCTTTAGGGTCGGCAACATAAATCTTGTTCTGCTATTCCGCTCTATCAAGGCCATTACCCACAGTGAGACCACAAATCACCATAACTTTTCTCACTACTTCCATAATATATTAGAGACAAATACTAAATTAAATGCCTACAATTACATCAATCACATATACATGCTTATCTTTGTATAACTCTATTTCTAGAATTTTTTTAAACTAACTGCATGAAAAGTGATGCACCTGCATCAAGACCGCATCAAGACGTACAGTTCATCAGACCAACCTAGCACATTGAATCCGCATCCCGTGTCCAATAATGTTGATAAGAGTTTGCAAATTATTTATTGGAAACTCAGATTCCCCAAATGGTAACTACTTAACCGTTGATTACAGAGAGATCATGCATGACTAAACTGTTGATTTCAAAGATCAGATTCATGAGATTGCCAACTGTTCCATAAACAAACCTAGATCCTAAAGTCTATCTTCCAGAAAATACACTGTAATATATAGGGAATATTATGCAGGAAATGGGTCAATTAACTAGAAGGAGATGAACATTCAAGCAAAAACACTATCGACGTACCTACATAGTTTGAAAATGGAATTTCATGAGAGATTCAGTGAAATCCAAGGCATGTTAAGTAATTAAAAAAAGGAAAGGAAACAAACTCCTTAACAAGGAAGTAGATAAATTCACCTCATGTATAAGCAATCACCACAAAACTGCCCTTGAATTATTTTGCACTTGCTGCAGCTAGTACGATGTCCAAGAGTTTTTTGCCTGAAACAAAAGCAGATAAAAAAAGAAGAAGAAGAAAAAAGGTGCTAAATAGAACTCTGAATAATATCTTCTCCAAATATTCTTGCCTATCCCAGAATAATCAATTTTGCAAATCTTCAGAAATTTATGGAAAAAGGATCTAGATTTGTACATATTCTTATAACCATAAGGTTGTACTCGCAGCCATATGGGATCCGTCTATATGGATTGTTAAATTGCCAGTTCCTAAAAATATAGTATATTAACTATTCTTCGGTCAATTATTTCTTATTACAGAATGCTGAGTTATAGTTCAGCATCCAAGATGCATTTATCGCAACCTTCAACAACTAATACCCAAACGAATGATCTATTAGGAAGAAGAATATCATTATTTCAATTAATTTTTTCTAATGGGGGTAGCTCCTATTTCTAAGAAGCCCACATGATATATGGTTTATATGCACAATTGTCTCCCCCAACCCCCTACACAAATACATATATGCAAAAATACGTGCATAAATGCAGGCATGTATGCAAAAATCTACACATGCATAGATAGACATGTTATGTATGCATCATGTCAAATGACTTGTAGCACTCAAGCAATGCAAAATGGAGCTGCCTGGCCTCAATCGGGCCACCTGGCTACCAAGTTGAAAACTTCTCGCATATACATCTTCCAGTATTGCATCTCCCCCGTATATCTTTCATTTAAAATGGGATTCTCTTATTTTTATCTTTCAAGAATGGTGCTATCTATCTTTGGTTTCATTTAAAGTAGTACCAAATCTTATTCTCTGGGACGTACACATCCTCATGTTTCCTATCAACTCTCAAGCAAGACACCCCAATCCCTTTATAGTTCTTACAGATTCCAAGCCGATTTCATACTCTCACGACCCCATCTTATATAAACCAAGACAACCTTCAAGTATGGCCATTGTGAATTCAAAATGAAATGTGTGAGCATAAACAACAAGGCTATGTTAAAATTTGTTCTAAACACAACTATGTAAGATATAGTAACAAGAGTAAAATTAATGTAGTAACATTGGCAGGATTTTCTAGTACTAGCAATAGCATTCTTCTCAAATATATATTTTGTTCTTTCATAAGTTAAACATGTTCACAAATGCATCAAAAATTAAAAGTTTATTAATTTGTGATCTCGTTACATTCTATTAGTTAGTGCACACATAATCTTAGATTTGCATTCAGTTTTAGGCTTAGCAATTTTGAGTCTGGCTTACTAACCATGCATATTAATGGATCCTTTGCTTTATACTTAAGCAGTTCCCCAGATGGCCAAGAAAATCAATTACATTTAAACATATCAAAACCAGAAAAGTTAAGAAATGAAGAGTTCTTGTTGAGTCCGCTTACTCATGCATCCACCCTGGTTTTCAAGGGTTTTAGGAGCCAAGGCATATCCTGAATCACTGCAAATCCATTTCTACCCCTAATCCAGGCATTTAGAGTCCAAAAACATTGTAGATCTGATGATCTTTAAACAATTGAAATGAAAAGTTCCAAGAAAAGGGTACAAAACGGATCCTTTTTACGGCTCAATATCAATTTCTTTTCAGATTCATGATTGTGGTGCTTTAGATGAAAGACAGGTAAACTTTTGGATCCTCAATCCACTTGAAAGGTGGACGCACACGAATAGATTAGTCCAGGGACACAACCTAAACCCTACCCAATACCCATTAATAAACTGCTCTTTTAGAAGAACCCAAAAATGCCTATTAAGTGCTCTCCATGACGCAATTAACGTTTCATAGGGTTATCCAGTAAAATTCAAACATGCAAATAAGAGTAATCACTAATTGCAAAATGGCAGTAAGAATATGAATCAAATCCAAGAGTAATATGCCTCAAGGAAAGGAAAAGCACAAAAATATCCAATGAACTATGGAAACCATAGACCACTCAGGTCATAAGTGTCCAATGAAACAATGAATGGTGATGGAGATAGAGAATGGACCTACCATTAGGGTCATGTCTTGCTTTAGTGGATCCACCTTTCTTTATCACTATCCACAATTTCATCCGAAGGTGATAAACCATGTCAAACTGTTTTCCCTAGTCCATTGTACTTTCAAAGCCCTTTCCCAACTAATTGGGTTGGCTACATGGGCTGCCATTCTGCTCAATTAATTGTACTTTCAAACCAAATAATGCACTCAAATCACTTACCTGCACTGATGGCATGTTTTTCCTTTTACAGGGTCATATATACGCCTTCCATCCTTCCCATAACCATCTCGGAAGAGAACCCAGCCACTCTCACAAGATCCCAATCGCTTCTCATCTTCGTCAGTATATATCTCAGGCATTAAATGATCAGAATCCGAGACTTCTACAGTTTTCGACTCTTGAGATTTGTTTCTTCGGATCTCCACATAATTAGCTCGGGCAACATTCTGCAATCTAAAGAAGAACCAAGGAAACTTAGACGCCCATATAAAGCTTTTTAATGTAAACATAAAGAAGAAAAAGAATGGCTTACATCCTCCCACTGAGTCATGAAAACCAGAAAACAGAAGCTTTT